CTGTACTATTGCTCTGGGCCCCCTAGTAGCATTTTAACCTCAGCAGAGTCTTTCCTGCAAACACGTGACCCCTGGTTGGAAATAGGGTCACATTCCTGCCCCCATATAAAAACAAAATAAGAGAAATGACCTGTTCAACCAATCTTGTGGGTTCAGGCCCAAGTTATGAGAATAAACGTGTTCTGGGGAGTTGGGTCCATGCACCCAAGTCCACGTCTTCCCCCATAGCTCTGCCCCACTTCCACTGGCCTTCGATCACCTTCCAAGGTCCCTGCCCCATTGTCATGGGTGTGGCAGCCTGTCCTGCCTTGAGGGTGGGTTGGTTCCTGCCTCCAAGTTCTCCATCTCCTGAACTCATGTCTTCCAGCACCTTCCAGCACCTTCTCGCTCTGATTTTCATTGTAAAGCCAAATTTTCTCTTCTCTTACACACACTTCAACTGTTTCTGTCTTTCTGGTTTGTTTTTGGCGGGAACCGAGCGTCTCACACGTGCTGGGTAAGTGCTCTGCACCCGGAGCACAGACGCATCAGTCGTTAGCGGAGTCCCCACTCCGGTGTGCCAGCATCTTAGTCCCCTGCAGCCAGTGCCCCATGGATGTTGGCACAGACGGTGCGTTCTCACCGCGAGAGCCTTTGCCTGGGGACTGAGCAATGCCCCCTAAGGTTGGATGCCCAGATCTTTCCCCGTCTGCCTCCTCTTCTCTGACCCTGCTCCCCACCTCATGGTCCTGCTTTCCAGATGCAGTTCCAGTCGTCAGGCTGTGAGCTGCCTCTGGGCGTGGGAACCGAGCTGGAATGAGCCGACCCCTGTATCCTGGCACCAGAACTGCCCCTCGGCTCTGGCACGACTTCCCTAAGTCCCTGCCTGCTCTCCTGCCCTGCGCTGTCAGAGTCTTATAGGAGCTCCTCTGTCTCAGCGTTTTCTGGAAGTACCTGCAGCCCTGATGCTCCACCTAGCGATGCCCTTAGGATGAAAGTGACCGGAACAACCTTCCAGGGGCACTTGGTCTCTCGCAGTGCCAACCTGGCTCGGCCCATTTGGTTCCCTTCTCGTTTCTCCTTCTCGATCTAAGCAATGTGTGCCTATGCGTGTGCCTGTCTGTGTGTGTCTGTGTGTGTTTGTGTATCTCTGTGTGTCTGCCTGTGTTCTCTAGCCTCTGCTCCTCACCACACATACCCGCTGTCTTGCATGGCTGATGTGTCTGGAACATTCCATGCCCTCTCCCTTTCTTGTCACATTGTTTCTGCCCTACGTCCTGGTCTTCAGCTCTGATTCTCCTCCCCCCCCGTCCCCCCCCCCCGAATATTGATCAGTCCCCGGGTGAGAGAGCCCCTGCCCCACATTCCCCCACTTCTTCTGTCCACCATTGGCCATGCTGATCTCTTGGGGGGCACTGGCTGGTCTAGACATGATGCAGGCACCTGCAGGGAACAGGAAGCTGGGCTTGCACGCGTGGCTGAAAGGACAGTCCCCGTCCGAGTGCCGAGTGGACTCCTGAGCCTGCCATGAGGACCCGCGCTCCCTTAGCTCCTGCCCTTCGCGTCGGAGGTCAGCCCTCTGCAGGCGAGTGTCCCGCTCTCCCCGGGGCCCATATCAGAGCTGGTCCTCCAGACCCTGTCCCGATGGTCAGTGAAGGAGCTCACCGCTGAGCTGGGGTGGGGGACCTCAAATCGCCTGGCCATGCTCCCGTCCCATCTAGGTTCGTGTTTTCTGAACTTGCATTGCAGAGTAGCAGTTTCTGCTTCCTGGTCCAGCAGCACCACTGGAGAGACTAGAAATGGATTGTTGCGGGGGGGGGGGGGGGGGGGACACAGGGTCCCCGCGCAAGCTGCTCCCACCCCTTCCTACAGTGTGAGAGGGAATGGCACTGTGCCGAGCCAGGAGCCCCCACGCCTCGGCCCAGCTTCTCCGGGGCCAGTCGGCTCTCTCCTTTGCACCTCCTGCACTGCCCGCATGTTCACTTCCAGAGGTGCCGCCCTCACGTGGCTGCTTTCATCTGGGCGACTCAAGTGACAGGTGAACCCAATGGCCCCGAGCCTGTATGCCGTGGCCCGTTACCCCCTCCACCCCCCCCCCCCGCCCTCCTGAGGCCCCGATCACAGACAGGCGTAAGCCAGAATGAACCCAGTCCACAAGGCCATTCCCTCTGTGTCCGGCATCCCATGCTGCGTGTCCTCTGCCTGTCATGAACTTCTCATGATCTGGCCAACAGGAGGAGCTTGAGAACAAAAGCAGAGAGAAACATGTGAATGGGGCTGAGGGCCCTAACTCTCACTGTCGGGGATTCTGGACAGATGTCCTGCCCCGGGCCCCATTATCAGAATAAAATATTATATCTGCCATCCCGTATCGCACCATAGGATGATAATGACCGTCTCTATCTCTGTGACTTCCACGGCCCCAGAAGAGGGGGGATGAATGACTATTTTGAGCTCATGGTAAGTTGCCTCAAGTCTTTTCCGTCTGTGGATTTCCTGTCTGGCCGATTTCGTGAATGGCTGTGAATAGACCCCATTCATTCATTTGTCTCCCCGATGTGACAGCTCTGTTAGGACTGAGATTCCGACCTCTCCAGTGGCGTGTGCGGCCCTCAGTAGGTCCCTGGACCTCATTGTCCAGGACGCCGAGGGGAGGAAGGGCTGTAACTCATTGTGATGACCTGGAGTGAGGCTCGAGCAGGGCAGTCCGTTGTACTGGGAAGTTGTACTCACGCCTCTGGAATTTCCTCCCAGGGGCCCCCCAGAGGGCTGGGATCAGAGGGCAGGCAGTGAGGTGCTGCCATCCTGTGTCTACCCCCTCAGGACCCCCACCTCAGCCCCGGGGCCCCGCCTCCACGAGTATGGACCGGAAGTCTGGAGTGTCTGTGCTCAGGAGGCCAGGGCTTGGCTTCTTCTGACATCTGACTCCTCTTGTTATTCAGAAAGTGTCCCAGGCACAGGATTTCCGTGGCTCAGGGGCAGTACTGATTTCTCCCGGACAGAACCCGCTGGGGCGATCATTTGAAATTGTTCTGTGGATTTCTGTGGATGGGCCCAGCTGGGTTTGCTTGGCCAAGTGACCGTCCCTCGCCACAGACCTCCCCCATGCCTCCTCTGGCCCTGGTGTGATGGCAGGGTCTGGACAGCGCACTCTTGGGAGATGGAAGAAACACAGGGTCATCCGGGGCGACGAACTGTGTTTCAGTTTTCATTGCGAAACACCGGGGTGTCTAAACATCAAGAGCTGTCGCTTGCAGTCACGTGCACCCTCCCCTCCTGTCCAGATGTCTGAGAATGTGGCCAGCAACTCAGGTGTCCCCTCCAGCGCTGCCTTGCAGACACCACGAGCCGAGCACAGACATTATTTGGTGGGAGCGAGGGGGAGAGGACACCCCCAAAGTGAGTGTGTGTGAGAGACCTGGAGATCAGACACACATTGAAATGGGGTTCATTCATTGGGGGTTGGAAGAGAAGGTTTCGTCGCAGCCCGAGTGCGGCGGGCTTACCTTTCCTCTGTGAGAGGCTGTCTTGGCTGGGCTGGAGGTGGGGGGTGCTGAGGGACGATTTGAACTCAAGGCCAAGAGACGGGGACCAGCACTGTCCAATAGGACAGATCTCTGGGTTTGCAGCCCAGAAGGGGGCAACTTTGCCTTGGTGCAGAGAGGGGAGGGTCTGGGTTTGTGTTGGAGGCAGGGGGCAGTTTGGGCCACACTCTGTGGTGCTCAGGGCTCACTCCTGGCAGTTCTCGGGACCAAGAGGTGCAAGAGATTGAACCCAGGTTGACCGCATTCAGGGCCAGCTCCCCACCCACTGTGCCCTGTCTCCAGGCCGGGAGGTGCAGTTTCTTCTGAGGAAGGAGGAGGACGTTTCCCCAGGGGCCACCCCAGACCTCTGTGCATGTGTGGATGTTTGTGCCAAACAGGAAGGGGAAGTTCTGCCGAGTCTTCCCTCGAGATGCGCTCGTGCGACAGTTCACGTTCCTGCATCCCTGTGGCCTGAATAAAGTCACTCAGCCAGGGGGAGAAAGTTTGTCACTCCAGTGGGGCCACAGAGGCAGAGCCCCAGGGGTGGAGGGAAATGCAGCGGTCTCATCCACGTGGAGGTGCTGGGGTAGTTTTCCTGCCTGCCGAATGCCAGCTGGTATGTTTTCAGGAATCTTTTGTCCCAGTTGTCAAACACAGCAATTACAGAAACTGAGTGGCAGAGACCGAGGGTTAATGAATTCCATGGAGCACAATGGTGGGAAGACAAACTCCATTGTCGCCTGATTTCCCTTCTGTACCCTCCTGTGTGCTCTGGAGATTTGGGCCCTGTCTGCTGGAGACGCTCCCCGCCTTGTAAGGTCCTCTCGGGCCAAGCAGGGCCTGCTGGGAGTCTACAGGAGAGGCCTTGCTCTTCTGAGTCCAGTGCCCACACTCTGGCTGGCGCCATGTAGGAAGCTTTTGGTTAGACATTCAACCTGTATGTCGCTAGGCCAAGCCCCTCCTGTTTGTGGATGAGATTTCAGCATCGCTAGTCGAAAGGTCTGTAGAAGCACGGCTAGACTGAGCTTCCTGCCCCACCTCCATGAAGGGAGCGATGGAAGGTGGATAGGTGGGTGTGTGGCGGTGGTGGGGATCGGGCGTATCTGGGGGCATTCAGTCCTGGGGATGGTGCTAAGGTGGCAGACAGACAGATGTGAAGGTGCCTCCGTCTTGCACGGTGATAAACTTGTTGAATGGGAGAGTGTCGTGACAGTTGCCACCCTGGGATGTCTGGGCTCGTTCATCTCCCTCCACCTCCTGCTGGAGAGTGTTAAGTTCCATGAGGGTGTGAGCACCATGTGCAGAGCACCGCCTCGCCCCCAGGGAGCACTTCATGAGTGGGTGACCCCATCCTGCCATGTCTCAGCCTGGTGAGGCCCCCACTCGCAGGGGCTTTGGGCCCAGACACTTGTCCCTGGTGACACCCGGTGTGTAGGGAGGCGTTGGGCCTGTGCCCGTGACTGGACCCTCAATGACCTCCTGTCTCTTTCCTCGTAGATGACGGAAGGTCGTCGCTGTCAAGTCCATCTTCTTGATGACCGGAAGCTGGAGCTCCTAGTACAGGTCAGTGATGGGAGCTTGAGTCTCCGCTTTCCTCTGGAGGCCGCTGTGCTTCTGACTCCGACGCCGGCAGGGGGTGGGGGAGGGGGCAGCTTTGATTGGGGAGTGGCAGGGGAGGCCAGCATGTGTGTTAGGGGGTGCGTTCGTGTGTCTGCATGTTCTCTCTGTTCATTCTCTTAACTCCGTGCACGGTGCCTCTGGCATTCAAGGCCAGGTGTAGATTCACCTGTTGCTGGCAATCTCAGGGATGGGAAGCATCACAGGGCCACTAGCTGTTCTCCCTGATCCTGAGGACTAGACTGGACTGGATAACTGGCCTTACCCAAAGCCCTTCCTCTGGTAGTCTTCCTCGCTCAGAGGCCGGTAGAGAACAATGTGCAATATTCGAGGAGCACTTTCAGAGGTGTGAAGGAGGAGGAGCGTTCGCCTGGCTTCCCTGAGCAGTTCCCCTCCGCCTGTCCCTCGGGTCACCACTGACATCAAGGTTGACCCTATAACCCTCTCTCTGATGCTTTAAAGTTCATGGAGTGACAACCCAGGGGACCATTTCTCCTTGAGTTCCAAAGCATGCTCGGTGCTCAAGGTTTCCGTGTGGCTGCCAGAGAGAGCGGTTTCAGGATGTTGGTGATGCGTCTGAGGCATCCCTGACTCTGTGGTGTGTTTGGGGCAGGGATTCAGCTGGTGAGGCAGAGGAGGCCATGGCCTCGGGAGGTGACTGGGGAGGCGGCTGGTCTCACAGGTCAGCTTCCATCTGGGCTGAGAGACCTCATGGACCACGTGAAGGTAGCAGAGCAAGCCTTGGCCACAGGTAGGGGGATGGACAGCCTGTCCATCAGACCACTTCTTGTCCAGCCCAGAGCCTGTGGCTTTATTGCTGTCCTGTAGAATCATTTCTATCAAGCAGAAACCAGTAAGCAACAAAAAGCTGGCACTCAAGCAAGAGAGCTGCCCAGGGCACGGGCACAGCTAAGAATGGGGCCTGGTGAACAAACACGGTTACCTCTTGGTACCTGTATTGCAAACCATAGTGCACAGAAGGAGGCGGGGGGGGGGGGGGGGAAGAGAGAGAGAGAGAGAGAGAGAGAGAGAGAGAGAGAGAGAGAAGAAAGGTGCCTGTCATAGAGGCAGGATAGGGTGGGGGGCACCATGCGGAGGTGGGAGCAAACCGAAACTAGGGACATTGGTGGTGGGAAATGTACACTAGTGGAGGAACGAGTTTTGGAACATTGAAACCCAATCATGAACAGCTTTGTGATGGTGTATCTCATGGTGATTCAGTAAAAAATATAAATTTTTTAAATGGGACCTGGGAGGCCCCATGTACAGGTGCTATACACCCCCTCCCCCAACCTACACACACACACACACACACACACACACACACACACATACCCGTGCACGCACCAGCATCATCCATGGCTGGAAGAGCCTCCAAATCAGAACCGAGGGTGACTTGCCCTGGCTCCTGGTCCAGCCTACCATCTGCCTCTCGAGGATGTAAAAGTGACACGTGATTTTGAAGCTTTTTCGCATCCCTGAGAGCCGCAGAGAAACTTGTCCTGCGGCCAAGCGGAAGGATCACTGCGTGCCTAAAATAAACACACAGATGACCTCGGTGCGCACACTCCGGCTCATCGTGGCCGCGGCCGAGGGCTCCTTCTCCTGGAAAGTCCTGAGAACGTGTTTGCTGCCAGCAAAATCGGAAGCCATCACCCCCAGCTGCAGAGAAGGGAAAAAGAACAGACTGGCCGGGTCCCGGGAGGGGCTGCTCTGATTGGCTGGCCGGCCCGTCAGTAACTGCGGGGGCTGAGCCGCCGCTGGCTCCCGTCGGTTGGGCCACGCCAGAATCCAGCTGGGCCCTGGGCCTGGCGTGGTGAGTGGCCCGCCAGTAGAAGCAGGGGCAGACGCCCGTCCTGCGTGTTTCCAACCTTCTGCCCCGACCTCCTAGGCCTCCCAGGAAAGGGTGTCAGACAGCCCCAAGGCCAGCCCAGACTTCACCACGATCCCATCAATATTTATGAGGCTGCCACATGTCCCTCCGACCCTGGGGTAGGGAAGGGGGGGCGGTTGTCCTTTCCCTGCTTACCACTCTAACACTCCAGGAAGCGATCGAAGTTGAGACAGGGGTTAGACAGAGAAGCTTCTAGCAACCCGGTGTCATCCCACCCAGTGAGCAGTGAAGGGAGGCAAGATTCATGAAATCCATGGGGTGACAGGCAGCTCACCCATAAGGCTGGTGCCCTGGGAGAACAAAGGAAGGTCCAGCTCCCTGTGGGCCTCATGTACCAAGCAAGACATGTGGTGTGTTCCTGCCCCACACACACGCACAAACACACTTTTCACAACTACACACAAGCCACACACATGCATGTACATGTGTGCATGTCTACAAGCAGACAGTGCACACACGTGCACATCCATGCATAGCACATGTATGCGTGCACACACATGCGTGTCCACACATGCACACAAGGCACATACATGTGGACATGTTAATCACACGTGTACACAGCTACACGTGGGGCACATATGTGCCTACATATGTACATCCACATCTACAACCAAGACTCGTGTGCGTGCATGCACACACATGTTTATAAACAAGGCACCTGCATGCATGCATATGTTCGTGCATGTATGTGCATGAGCACACGCATCCACACGCAGCTCCAGGACCAGATGGCTCTGGCAGCCCTGGGTGAGGAGGAGCCCGTGCGGGGTGGGGGCAGCTGTGGAGACCAGACTCTGGTTGCTTAGCAACAGCCCCTCACTCCTCCCCTCCCCCCACGCCCCACCCCCCACACCCGTGCCCTGTCTTCTGCACCTCCTCCTCCCTCGGTGCTGATGCTGACAGAGTTTAAATGTCTTCCTTGCGACAGGGGACATGGCCCTCACGGGTCGCTTTGTTCCCTGAAAGGGCCCTCGGATGTGATGGAAACTGAATGTGACGGAGAGGAGGGGTGGGGGCAGGGAGCGTGCGGCCCCTGGGAAGCCGTCATGGAGGTGAGGGTTGTTGTCGTTTCCCAGGTGGTCACTGCAGGGGCTTGGTCCTGCCCCCTCTCGCAGCCCTCCCTCCCTTCCCAGAGGAGGCCAGGACTGTGTTTGCAGGTCATGATCCTCGCTGCCTCCTCCCCCGTCTCCCTGCTTGTTTATAAACATGTGTGTGCATGTATGCACACGAGTCTTGGTAGCCACTCCCTGGCACGCAGGTGTGGTCAGTATTGAGTGTGGCGGGTGTGCGGCCTGGCATGGATAGTGGAGTCCGGGTTGTATGTGATGTGGGGAGTGTGTGGCGTGTGAGTATGGTTGCATGGATGGTGTGCAGGCGGGTGGTGTGTATAGTACGTGTGTGGTTTCGTGTGGAGGATGTGTGGGGTGTGTTGGTTGCATGTGCGGGTTTAAACTTGTTGAAGACTGTTTCCCAGGGAAACACACACTACTACTACTACTGCTGCTACTACTACTACGACTGCTACTGCTACTGCTACTGCTACTACTAGTACTACTACTACACAACCCTTCCATAGAGGAACAAAAGCCGTGGCTGGGATGAGGTCCAGCCACAGCTCCCTTGTGCTCTGAGGCCCCTTCCCAGTCCCAGGAGCCTCTGTATGGTAGGGCCAGCTCTGGAGTGGGGTGACCCTGTGGCATGTTCTGGAAATTGCTGCCTGCTGTGGGGCATGCGGCCCCCTGAGCCGGACTGACCCATGCACCCTCCCCCTTTGTGAGGAATTAACTCGGGGACAGCTGGGAGTCTGCTAAAGCTTGTCGCACCTGCCCAGAGGAGAGGGGACAGGGAGGGACACAGCCTCTTCCGATGATACATATGGGCCAGGCCAGGGTGCAGCGAGGAGCCCCCTGGTCTCAGGCTGGGGACCCTCACTGAGGAGGCTTCTCCTGGGGTCCCCTATGGGGCACAGGGGCCCTGGCTGGGAAGCTGGTCTCTAGGTGGAAGTGACTGGGAGCAAAGAAGTAGCCGTCAAGCAAACTTCATGCTCAACAACTAAGTGTAAAGGAGCTTCTCATGTAGGAAGTGTTTCTCAAAAGCCCTGGGGTTCTCAGCATCCATTCTATTCTGTTCACCAGCTGACTCTAAGACACACACACACACACACACACACACACACACACACTTACATATGCAGATACACACACACACAGACTCACAGACTCATAGATGCACAGATACAGAGGTACACAGACACACATACAGATACACGTACAGACACAGGCGCACACAGAGACGCAGACATACAGGGGCACACACAGAAATTACATAGACACACAGGCACACACAGAGATACAGACACACATAGACATACACACAGATACACAGGTACAGACACACATAGATATACAGATACACAGACACACACACGCACACACATGCACACACACTGATTCTGGCAACTTGCCCCCTCGAGCAGTGCAGTGATATGGACACTTCTGGGCAGTCCTTGTGTCCTGGGCCACCCAGCAGGGCCCCAAGCCTGCCCTGTGGTCCACAGAAGCCAGCCCCTGGACAGTTCCTCTAAAGAAACCTGTGGCTGCCTGAAGGAGGGGTCTGGGCAGTTTCCAGAATCTCCACGCAGAGCCTTTGAGTGCGGCCTGGGCATACAGTGACACCCTGATAGGCAAGGCTGCCACATTCTGGGGAATCGGAACCCTTCACTGGCCTCTCCAGCCCCGGGAAGGTGTCAGACCAGTAGAGTAGCAGGAGACAATCACAGGTGTAGGCAGAGCTGGGTCAGCACAGCCCGCGGTCACCCCAGTTCCTGGCCCCATTTTACTGGGGTGGCAGCTGGGCCAGGGCCAGGAACGATCATTCTCCCCCATCCCACCCCCTCAGAGCCACCGGAGACCCAAAAACCAGCATGGCCCACGCATTCAGGGTGCCTCCAGCTAGGGCTGGTCTGTCAGACACACACTCACACCCACGCACACCACACACCCAGATATAAGCCCACACACGCATTCACAGCTGCACACCGATGCACAAATAC